TTAAAATTATAACTTTGCATAAGTAATTTTTTTGAATGTATATAATGAATGCATAAATTTTTTTGAATAATAAATTTTAAAATATAAATACATTTCTCACAACTTTGGTACCACTTCTTCACATCTAAATGACCATTCGTTATCAGTATACTATGAATGTCAGTTAACATGTAATAAATTTGTTTAATAAGTATGAAATTAAAATCATACACCGTTTTCACTTTCCATTATTATTATATAGGAAAAAAAGTTCAATAATTTAGATCTGCAGTTATATTGACTCAATTCTGCTCATTACCAATAATATTCGTTATCGGGTAGCCATATAATTAAAAATAACTTTTTAAAATATCGTAAAATTAGCTGGCAGTGTTTGTAGTAAAAGTTGTTGCGGCGAGATAGCAAATGTTGTCATATGTATCTAAATGTTGTTATAATAATAGTGGTAACAATATGTTTGTAAAATTTAGCAATTGTTGTCAGTAATTTAGTTTGTCAATTGCTTAATCAAATATTGATGTTTTGATAATTGTTATTTGTTTAAAAATCTAATTTATACAAACTTTTTAATTTTTTTTGTGTATTTTCTTTTAGAAAAGTATATGATACATAAACTATGCATGTGCCCTATCTGATCAACAATCTGTGCGTGCCAATTAACGATGTATGCGTGATTTTGGAAACTACAATGATGTCTTTCTACTTGCAAACTTAATATTCATTGATGTTTCATGCAAACATATTAAAAGTAAGACTGCATGCATATTGCATGTCTCACCCAACAAATAACTCACGATGTTTTATATCTACCAAATTTGCTTTAATTCTTTTGATATTTGCAAAAAGAATCTTCGAAATAATCTCCAATTCGTTCATTTAACAAATCAGCTTACGTGTTATTTTGTTCACAGCACAAGACAGTCGTGTTTCACGTGACATAACATTGATATCATGTCAAAAGCTTTTAATCAGCACTTACACAGACAAACATTTTTATTACGTTATTTGTTTAAAAATGATTTCAATACGATGCAAGCAAAAGAAAAATGAGTAGTATTACATAATAATTTTAATACAATATTAATAAATTATCGATAAGAAAAATTCTAAATTATGATATGCAGGAAAATTATGCAAATCAAACGGAAAAGAAAGAAGTAGAAAACGCAATATAACAATATATCATCGGAAATCGATTCAAATGAGAAATTTGCGAAATAGTATGCTGCACAATTGATTAAACAGTAAAATAAAGTGATGTTTTATTTTGAATGAAAAATTAGATTAATTTAATGTTATCACTTTAATCATCCTACTCCGATTTTTACTAAGTTACCAAGTAGAAATTTCATCATAACTTTGTGACTACTTTGTATTTCTTATTCCTCATAATTCATAATATCATTACATTATAAATATTATTTCAATTCTTTCCTGATACAATAGAAAGAATGAGTGATAGAGGTAGAAAATTTTAGACAAGAACAAACGGAAAATTGTAAAAATTGTATTCATTGCTTGAGTTGCTCTCCTAACCAAATTTATAAAATCAAATAACTTTAGTTACAATGATAATTCAGTGAGAGTAATAACTTCGAAACAATTAAATTTTGTTTCATCCTTTGCTTATATTCACTGTTTAAAGAGGAAATTTCAATTATTTGATGCTACAATTATTTCATACTTCTGAAACACATCGATGAAAGGTTTTATTTCAACAAAGCTTTCGAAAAAAATTTTATTCCATAATAGCTAATAACATGTCTTTATCAATCACTGCTTATATGCCACAAAATCAAAAATTGAG